AGCCTGTGAGATCCGGTGGTAACCTGGAACGGTAATGGGAGACCCTCGCGGATCAAAGGAACGATCTAGTAAGGCTGAAGAAAGGTTCCTGGAACAAAGAAGAACAAGTTAGAAGGGCGCCGGAGTGTTTTTCGGCGTATCCCCTCCGACGATCAAATTAGTTTTTGAGAGAGAGGAAGAAGAAAACACTGAGTATAATTTGTAGCAAAAGTTTCACCTCTCGTTCTTGCCTTTAGTGAGGAGTATTTATAACTCAAATACTCATGATTGTTGTCAGTGTGGTCAATAGGTGATCATTAGATACAGGCAACGTACGCACTGATTCTTATGAGGAATGTCTTCTCTCTTAACTACTCGGGACCCCGAACAATCAAGTCTGTGTCATCGGCCTACCGACGGTTCAATGAGCTCCTCTCGGGGAGGATGCAATAAATACCCAGCCTTGGAGACATTTATTGTCTTTCACTTCTGAGCCTTACCGCATTGAATGCAGTCTCATCAAGTGAATGGTGTAATTAAATGCTTGTTTTCCCAAGTCGCGTGTCAGCAAGGTCATATGGTCTTTCTATCTCTGATGTGACACAATATGCCACGCGTCCATTCCTCATTGGCTGTGGCCTCTGTCTTCCTGTGCCTTCTGACATCAATTGTGTAAGACGAGGTCATGATAACTAACCTAGCCTAACCTAGGCTAGTGACCAGTGCATCAATAACCTCTGCTGGAGCAGAGAACTTCATCATGGATGAGAGGGGGGTACATCTCGGTACCGAGGAAGAGGTACATCTTGAATCCGAGAGGGGGGAGCCTAGCAACCGATGTACCATATCAGACCGAAGGTACGTGTCGGTACATAAAAACGTAATGGATGCCACTCGATCCCATGATAAGTACCTCGGGTAGAGGGGACTTGTGACCCCGATGGGTACGTGATCTCGATAAACAAGGATCAGTGACACCGAGGACACGTGTCTTCATTTTGGAGTGTTCCAGAAATGTCCCATCATGGGTGTTGGGGTCGAGTGGTGGATTTTGCAAGTGATGGTGGGTATCGGTGTGGTTGGGTGGTTGGTGATGGTGGGTAGCAGTGGGGTTGGGTGGTGGGTATCGATGGGGTTGGGTGGTTGGTGATGGTAGGGATCGGTGGGGTTGGATGGTGGGTATTGGTTGGTTGGTGGTAGTGGTCTTTGGGTGGTGTTGGGTGGTGCATCCCAGTTGTATTTTGAGGAGTAACTTATTTTGGATTAAAAAATTAACTATGTTTTTAATTTTTATTTTTATAAATTTTTAAATATAAATGATTATCAAATATGTTTTATATTTTTTATTTTTATCACCAAAGAATAAAAACTAGTTCTACTTTTTAAACAAATATATGTAAAAAAAAAAGTTATCAAATGCAAATTTTTCACATTGTATCCTCAATATATTAAAAATATTGCAATATGATAACTTTTATTAGTTTTCGCTACTCGTTTCATCACCGTCAATGAGGTGAGTTTTAATAGAAGATAAAATAAAGGTCACATTGTAACTTTTAATACAGTAACGGTGCAATATAAAAAAAATTCATCTTTCAGGATACAAAATAGAAACGCTGAAAACTTTTGGGGTGAAAAGTGAGATTCTCCCTTATCAAATTAATAAGATTAGTTACCATGTTGGACCAGTGCTCCATCAGTTAACTAGATTACTTTAAGGGCTTGTTGATTTGATGGGTTTGGGAGGATATGTAAGGGTGGGTTTAAGTAAAATAATTTAATAGACAAATTAATCTCATATTTGGTTAAGATTTTTAAATTCGAGATTAAGATCTCAGCCAACCCAAGATATAATGGTAAAATATATTTTTACCCCTAATCTACCTTATTACAAAGAATTAGATAAGGCCATTTAATCAATTACATAATAAATGTTTAGTTATAATTGTAATTAATTCGTGGATTCCACTTGTGTTTATGCTAGTTACAAATCAAATGATTGTATATAATTTATGAATGAATCTTATGTACAAAAAAAAAGGGGTTTTGGGTTTGAAAGAGTTTGTTAAAGTGAAAAATTGTTGAAAATTATACATTTTAGTATTCAATTTGTAAATAAGTTCAGGTTTGCACTTTTAAAGGTGTTAGGTTTAACTTAACTAAACTTTTAAAGTAAGAGATCCAAACTAGTTTTTCTATTTTTTTTATATGAGAATATTATCCCTTGTACCTTGGACTTTACCCAACCAATAGTCATTCAACACAGTTTTACAGTCTCACTCGTCGAGACGATTCAATCTGATTTCAAAGACTCCAAATTGTCACCACCGCGACACTCTCTCGCTTTCCCAAGTTATTATATTCTCTCTCTCCCTTAATTTTGTCGATTTGACATCTAATTATGCGAGATTGGATACAAAGCTTTCTGGGACTGTTAACCTTAGATTCAAATCGGCGTGATTGTTGAAGAGATCGAATCTGTCTCAATTTCCACAACAGCAATTGACAGATAGGCAACGTTATCTCCACCAAGAGTGCCGCAACATCGAACGCCAAATCCGTGGTTTATTATTCTCCTCAATTGAAAACCAAAGCCATTCAATTGTTTCTTCGTTTGCACGATGAGAAATTGAGATGATTGAATTTCGTTTTGTTTAAACTGGGCTATAACTTTTCTATTATACGTAAGAGTCTTTCTTTTTTTGCTGATCTATGTCAGAGTCTCTTAATATCAGAATTCTGGGGGTGAAATTATGAAACTATCCTTTTAGTTTGTACTAATTATACTCTTGTCCATAAGATCTTATAAATTGTAATCAATCCCTGTTGACTAACAATCAGTTGACGGAAGTGACAAAAAAGGTCCGGTTTGATGAAAATTTGCTTCAATTAGAATTGTAGATTCTCAAGATTTTTCTATTTTTGTTGCTTGTTACCTCTTTCTCTATTGGTTTGTTTAGGGTTTACGCGATGTTAGTTTTGGTACTTGTAAGCTTCGATGTCGTCACCATTAGATGAAGATTTGCTTTAATTCGAACTTAAAAGAAAATAATGAGAAGGTTATCTTACTGTAAAATTAAGTAGCCAAAACTTTTCTAAGCAATGTTTATAGTAAGGGTGCAACTCGGGCAGGTTGATAGGTCAACTCTAATCTAACTTAGATATATAATTTTTAACTCTAACCTTCATCCTAACTCAACCTCAACTCGAGCACTGTTCAAGTTAAATTCGGATAGACTCGGGTTGAATTCAAATTACTTAATTCAAACTGATTATGAATTAAAATTCGGATTGAATTTGGGTTAGAATTTTTTACATCAACCAAACAAGACGAAATTTCAACGCATAAACACAAACAAAGAGTGATCACAATCCACAGTAATAGGATTCATTTTAGTGATCACAACCCACAGTAATAGGATTCATTTTATTGACCCACGGACCTTTTGTATAAACTTCAAAATTAACCAGTTGAAAAAATACAAACCAAAAGGTTTTCTCCAACAAACCCCCAATTTCTCAACACAAATCAACTAGCTTTGTTTTCAACTTCTCAACCCCGATCAACAAAGCCCCAATTTCCAACACAGATTAACAACAGAGAGCAGATGGAGTGGCACAAATCAACAACAACATCAGTCGCAAAGGAGAGAGGTTGAGTGAGAGCCTGAGTGGCGAAAGAAGAGACTAAGAGAGTAGCGGAGGAAGTGAGCGAGAGAATGAGAGTGGCTGAGCGAGAGAATGAGATAGACTGAACGAGAGAATGAAGGAGGGGCTGAAAAAAAGGAATAAAGAATGGAGAACCCTAGTCATAACCCATGTCTAAAAACATAATAAAATATAAAATTCGATTGTCTAAAATATTAATTTTATTATATTAAATATTTTCAACATGTATACACTATCGTATATGAATAATATTTAAAATAAAAATTATATTAATTACAAATTAATCAAATATTAAATAATTAAATATATGATAAAAAATGAGTGATGTGATATTTTAAGAAAAAATATATAAATAATTAAACATATAATAGAAATGAATGATGTAATAACTTTTAGGGGAGAAAATATGTAGAGGATAAAAATTCAAGTTACTATGTGTTTTATTCTATATATATATATAAATTGGGTTTGAGTTGACCATGATAACCCAAGTACTACTCAAATTTAATTCGAATTGGTATTTTTCAACTCAAACCTAATTCAAGTATTAAAATTTCAGCCAAAATCCTCTTTTTTCGGGTTAAGTTCAAACTTATCCGCCCAAGTTACACCGCTAATTTCCACATGTTTGATATTTGAGTTTGGGTGGGATAAAATGATTGGATCAAATCATAGTCCAATGGATTCATCGGTGAAAATACAAGTTTGCCCCAAATGATACATGTATTTGGGTGGGGATTCACATCTATCATCTAGCTTTTCGTTATAGGGGCATTCTGATCAGCTAGTGGTTCCAATAAGAAAAGAATCAGCGGAGTAGATATGCATTTTTCCCGAAATAAACAGTGAGACAGTGGCGATTTATACGTAAAGTGAACTAGCTAAATTCTAAGGACAAAATAACAATACAGAATAGAATGACATAATGCACATAGCAACATTTTATTCAACTTCAGTTGTCCATAATTCGCTAGATATACATTATAGAGGTAACAATAGAACATTAAACCCACGTCGAGGTTTATGGATCCTCCTGAGCGACATAGTATTTGTGTGCTTAAGGTAATAAATTTAGAACATTTACCTTTTGTGAATACACCAGCAAGGCTTTTTCCGGTAAAAAGGTCACCCTCCGAGAGACATTTTCATATGAAGTCCCCCTCTGGTAATTGCTGTTTTAGTGTCAATTACACCCTTTTTGCTCCTATGTGTTACATAATGCCTCCTTTAAACGGCATAAATTATTCGATAATACAACGGAACCTGTGCCACATTTGGGGTCTAGCCTGGACAGCAGAAATTCGTCGATCAGCGGCCCTCTTTCAATAATGCTATATAGATTACGACTCAGATCACATCTGGGGTCTTGTCTGGACAACATAGATTTTTCCATCCCTCACTACACCTTCAATGTCTTGAGGAGATCCATAAAGCTCCTCAATTGCATGTCCGGCACGAGCAATGCTAGAGAGGATTGATTTACAGAAGTTACCATCATTGATCAGCCGGTCAGACGAGTAATCTAGCACAACTTTCTCCTCTTCATCCATCGGCACACTGCAGAAAGAATTTCAAGGAAACCCAATATGACAACTTTAAAGAGTAATATAGCACAACTCATAAATATATGTCCAGGAGGAATTTTATAAAAATTCTGGCCAGAACAACAGATCAAAGAGGTCAAATACGCAGATGAGCAAGATTAAGGATCTTACATTGCTGGCCTGGTAAGGGAGACTAAGGGAATGAGACTACAATACAGTTTATCAGCCTAAGATAACTTTTAGTAACTTCACCTATCATAAAGGCCTGCACCGGCATAACCTTCCAGATCTTCACCATTGGAATCAGATCGAAAGATGATAGATCGTCTTATGAAAAGGCCAATGGGTTTGCTTGGGTAACCCAAAACCTGTAAATTTTCAAATTCATGAGCACAGACAAGTCTAGATTTACTGAAAAATAACACTCCAATCAAGCAGAAGGGTGAGCTTTTGTTGCCTTTTACACAGACTATTCATCTAGTCACGAGAGGACCACGACATGTGTATGAAAAAAATAAAATAAAAATGAAAAAGATATGTATCATGGGGATTGATACACATAATGCAACTAAGAATAGTTATACCAAGTGTATTGGTAGCTTGACAGAAGTTAAAAAAGTTCAACATAATGTGCCATTATTATTCCAATGATCACCAGTTAAGTACATAGATGAATTCTCCAATTTTTCAAAAGATGCCGTGTTACTCACCTGGGGAGAATCAAGATCATTCTTCTTGCAGGTAAAACTCAAAGCACGACCTGGATAAGCTCCAACTAGAGTTTCTCCAAGGCCCTTCACCACCTGTGTTAGAAAGCAAGACCTATGAATATCTTCTGCTTCTTTGGCTGATCATTTAAAATATTTAATAGAACAGAACAGAAACAACTTCTAACAAAAAGGAAGCATTAATGTCCACTAGAAGTTGGTCTTATGGCATAATTATAAATCAACATAGTTGAAATTTATCCTACAATCGGCTCTCAGCCTGATGTCAGCATTTCGTGAATTAGTGCCATGTTTATGGGAGGCCTATTTGTGGCAGGGGAATGACAAGCCATGCTGTTTACAATTAATTCTAAATAATAAGACGAAGAAATTCAATGGAACAGGGAAAAAAGGTGATATGCATTGCCTCAGTATATATCTCTGATGCATCTCCTGAAGATGGGTTGGTAGTATGAATGACAAATGCGTAATCAGCATTTATTATTTCCTGAACGAGGACAGCCATGCAAAGACAGTCATGATCTAATTTTACTTTCCTTGTGCTGAAGTATGCTCTCTCATTCCATTTTGAAGCCCACACCTGAAAAATGGCAAAAAACAAAATATAAATGGCATTCCAAAAAACAAAAGGGCTTCAAGTAGGCGTAATTGATAAGCATAGAAATCCATACGATACAAAAATATGGATATCTTTGACGGACCCAATTAAAGTGCCCATGCTCTAAATATGTAAAGAAAATTTTGGACTCTCAAAATCCATGACAAGAGAGGAGAAAAATATGCCATCCGTGCACCATTTGGGAGTTCCTTTACTGTAAAATAACTGATTGTATTTGCATCAACAAAGATCTGAGGCATGAAAACAGGGGGCTTTTGTTGCTCTCCTGTGCAGCGAAATGTAGTCTCACCTTTTTTATAGCCATCCATGCTTGTTCCCATCGCTGCTGACCTTCATCACCAGGCCAAGGCATGCCAGAACTTTGCATCTTGCTTTTGAGCTCTTCCACCTGAAATAACTCTTACTATAATGACTGTGTTCAACTCTAAGCTCATAGTGCTGTTAAGGATCTACTCACTATACTTTTTAATATGTTTTACTTTATAGTTAGTATTTAAATTCCATGGAGTCACTCTTCCAAGAAAAGATATTAGCACATCTCTAATCTCAAGTTCATCTTTACACGGGCCCGAGAAAAAGGTATAAACCTCAATAAATGTGGTTTGGGTGCAAAATCTAGTGGTGTTAAAACATGGTTTTTAGCAAAAACTACAAAAGTACAAATGACAAAATACTTCGGTGATTTTATAGCATTACTACTATCTTGCTTTCCTACATAAACTGCCAATTGAAGAAAGGAGGATGTGTATCTGTCTGATCTCACAATTATCTGAAATGAACATGTTTAAGAAACAAAATTCACGTTACTAGTATAAAAGACATACCAATTGGGGTGGCGCTGCAAGCTCTAAAACTGTCTTGCGTATCTCACCAAGAACACTGAACTCTCCTCCTCCTAACTTATTCTTCAGAAACTGCAACCTTTCTGCTACAACCTGCCAATTTATTACATTACAATGACAAGCTCTCCCAATTTATATTTATGAGGGGGTTAGACATGAAAAGAGAGAATATCACAAAAGAATTCCCAAAAGAGGGATATTCTATATTTGTTGTGTTACAGTGAAAAATAAAGAAAAAGGGGGGGGGGGGGGATAATTTATTTTGTTGATGAGTAAAATACATGAATATTATGCCCAGAAAAGCAAGGTCAGTGGACATTAGCAAGGTCGGTGTGACAGTTTTCTTTTCAAACTTTCCAGGGTAATGGCACATCAATTTTATCTATTTTCTTATTTTTTGCTGGGGAAACTATTGAATGATAGAACATCTATCACAACCAGACTACACATTACTCAAAAATGATTTAAGTAACCTCTCTATCTCTCTCTACGTGGGTGTGACTGGCAAGTTAACACAAAATGTTTTGGAATATGCGCCTAGAAGATTCAAGTGGATTTAAATCAGTGGCATGCACTTTAATCATGAATCATGATAATAAACTTCACTGCCTATCGATGTTGGGGTAAACACCCAAAGCCCAAAGCAATCCTGAGCTAGCAACCATCAACAGTGTAGTGTGGGTGCATCTTAATGATGGCTCTTCATATTTCCTCTCTAATTGTTTCAAATAGAATTACACCAATGGATATACACATACATGATTATGGAATTAGTCGACCTAACTATTTTTCTGATTATAACCTGAAAACCCTACCCAGTCAAAATCTCTTAGGTGGTTGTTATAGTGACAATTTGAGAGTAGTAAAAAATTTGAGAAGTGGAATTAATTATGATGCAACTTGGCCAGTTTATACCTCTGTCATATAATATAGATATAGTCAAAAACTATTGTGACTGATGTTTTATGCCACCACATGGATACTAAAAACTGAGTTTTAAAAATGAGGAAAACCTGATTTAAGTGATGTGAAAGAACTTTCTCAAAAACTCCAAACGGAAGAGCAACTGAAGTAGGGATCCCAACCCAAGATGGCACTTTTCCTTTCAGATATGCAATGTTGCGGGATTTAGCTCCAACCTAGGCAAATCAAAATCCTGTAAATTACACTAACTAAAAATAAAGAAAACATGAATGCAGTAATGCATTCGTATGAATTAATTTGAATAACTCTAATTTTAGATAACTCAGTTTACAGAATGAGTACAGAAAATATAAAATTATCATAAATCTAAATTGGCATTGCAAGCCTAACCATTTCGCTTGTGAATTCTTCAGATGATATGGCATATTTACCCCAAACTGCTTCCTGACAAGAGTTACAGACGATGAAGGACCATCTTCTTTCAAGTTAGTTGAACCTGTTAGATCGGTCTCTTTCACCTCACTAAGATCAAAGTCAGAAAGAAAGCATAGATTAAGTAACTTCTTGTATGCATTTTAATGGAGCAATGAATTTCCTATATACAAATGCATTGGACTTCAACTGATATGTCATTTCATTACTCATATTCCATGACACAGAACATCCCTGACAATTATTTAGGTGGATTTACCTATATTGTATATCTGCAGATGTAGGCTTTAGGCACAACAATTTCCCTTCATTTGCTTGGAATTCAGCCAAAATCGTGGGATCAAAACATGTGGCAAAGCAAACCTGGCAAGATTTGAACAATTATCTCAAATATCACACATCACAGTCATTCACAACAGTAATCCATCAAAATACAGGCTAATTTTTCATTGTTCAGAGCTACCTTGCTATTTCTCGCTCGAACAGACACATGAGATAGGACATCTGGCATGTCAGGTGTCAGCACAGCAACTGTACCATCAGGAATTTCCTCCTCTCCTTTTACAGATTTGGCAATCAAAATTGTTGGCTGTCCATAAGATTTATTCTGAACAGAAAGCAACTCATCTACCACAACAACATATCCGATAGCTTCGACTGGACTGATAACTTGCCAACTGATGAGGTCAGCCAAAATTGCATTAGAAGTCCACTCATATCTTAAGTTTTTAATAGAACTACATAGATTGTTTTCTTTTCTTTCTTTATTTCTCTTTTCCAGGCATATACAAACCTAAGGATGAGCTTCAAATTATTTTGTCAGACCATAAAGTTGATTCTTTTAGTGACCAGAATTGATAAGAGCATATCACCACACACATGTAAATAAGTAGTTGTTAATTGTTTGAGATTTTAGTGGTATTTGAAATGGTATCAACCTTCCCAGATTAGCAGTTTTCCGAAGAATAGGATCGAGTCGATTAAGAAGAGAGGATAATGACGCAGCTGATCCAGCACGAATAATTTCTTCTGTGAATATATTCACCTGTCAAGTAATTCTAAAGGTGAAATCAAGATAAATATAACATAAGAAAGTTGATGCTTAGATTGCCACATAATTAACGCACCGCCCACTGGTCCACTCCAAGCCTTGATCCAAGGTAATCTGCAGATGGCTGCAATAGTTGATGGTATGACTCCGCCTTGCTTGCGAGTGCAAGTCGGGTTCTGTCAAGGACTGATTTTGCAAATAATGCCCAATTACGATCTCCAGTCTTTGACATACTCAGCGCTTGATTCCATCCCTTAATAAGCAACAAAAAATATGCAAAATTATTATGGCACTGCTTCAACATCTAGAAAATTGTGTATGTCTGGTGACAGGAGCAAAAATATTAACTATTTACAAACACAATCTATTGACCATTTCTGGATACATACTAAAAACTCAAAAAACATGAGGCTGCAGGTTTGCATTTGAGGCTTGTCATTTTTTCAAATGTCAAAAATTAGGTTTGTACCTTGTCTACACCTCTTGCTTTCACTCTCTCTTGGTTTAAATAGGGACTGGTGATTAATGAAAGATGATTTACAGTACTACCAAATAATGGACCTTGCAAATATACAGGACTATGAGCAATTTAACTCTATATTAACATATTTGGAACCAAAGTAATTAATAATCCTTTTCATTAGTTGAGACCAAAATATTATGATACATGAAAACAAATGACCACAATCCATATGTGACAGAATATTAATCTATAATGGAGAGGACAGCTCATCCACTCTAGTGCAATGATGAGAAAAGAAAAAATTGTCTTTCCTATTCAAGTAAGCTGAATAGTTCGTAATAAAGTGTTGTATGTACTTGTCATTTTCGAAAATGCAATCAATATGTCACTGATTCCAGTATTCTGATTCTGTATGAGTAAGAATTATTATGTGTAACATTTACATTTTTCACGTTCAGTACACCTGTTGGATGATCATTGATAAAGCTGCTAAATTGTTGCTACTTACATTATCTTTTTCAACATTACATGCATAATATTTGCCAAACTAAGCCCTTTTGAATCGGACTACCATCTAAATAACGAAAACGGGGCTTTTAAGTAATGTGGTAGTTACCTTTAAGCAATAGATAAGATCCTCATTATCCACCGATGAAAGTGCGAGGTTTTCAAGAACAAGAGTGATGAAATACATAATTTTCTGCACATTACATGAAAAAGTTAATGAAGAATACACTTCAACACAGATAACTAAAAGCTATTATAAAGATTACAAAAAATGAGACAAACCACTAGAGGCAGAATCGTGGATAGCATATCCTACCTCAGGTTTAGCACTATTCAACTCTTCGTATCCCCTTTCAATTGCTGTCCTCACAGTAGAATCAAGGGCAATGTCCAAAAATAAAAGATCCTTTAGACGGTTGTTCGGTTTAAAAAGCAATGGCCTAATCTCCTGACGAGCTCCAGCAATCCCTGTGTTCAGGTATTTTTTTCCAAAACATACATATTGACAGACAAGGTACATAATATGGCAATCAGAAAAAATGTCTACAAAAACTTTCACATACCTCGAGAAGAGCTT